ACGGTCTCCTTGTTTAAGTTTGTGAATGCTGCCATAATCCTTTTTGCCAGTTATTCTCTTTGGTCTTACAAGGAGCTTTGTTGGTCTCTCGCTCAACTGCACCTCACAGATAATTACCAAATTTGGTGTAGTCTGGGGAGTTATGTAGCCAAATGTAAGGGGTGGTGTGGTCGCAGAAATTGTCTAACAGCCATGACGGTGGTTCCCTGCTTATGTGGCATGGTGCAAAGCCCTGTTGCCAGACATAGGGTCATCCAGCAGCCACTTCCTTGACCCAGGATTATTAATAACATGAAATTTGTCATTTACCTGATTGATGTTAAATTTAGTACCTCGACCCCAGTGAACCTTTATGTAATTGTTCAGTCCACTCGTCAGGAGCGTTTACCAATTGACTGTTACTTTTTTTCATTTTTCCTGTGTTAAATGACTTGGTTATTTCTTTTTTTCATCATTTTTCGTCTCCTTATATTCTCTCCCTATTCCTTCTTTTTCTGTCTCATCTCATTCACATATATATATATATATATATATATATATATATATATATATATATATATATATATACCATAAGAATTATCGAGTCTCGAACCAGTATACACAGCAGAATTCAGTAAGCACTGGATGGCCGTTTCGTCCTTTTGGGGACTCATCAGCAGAGAATCGAACCTAGACCGTGGATGTTCACTGCTCTGAAATGTCCGTCCAGTGCTTTCTGCATTCTGTTGAAGATTCTTGTTCTAGACTCGATGAACCATTATAAGAAATTATTAAAATCTCCAAAAATCTTTATCACCCATATATATATATATATATAAATATAAATCGTACACCCACAATTTTGAATATTTTTATTCATTTCTCAGAATCTAATGCCCGTATTATGATAGGTTTTTTATATGTTAATAAGCACGAAAGAAGGAATAAGAAATGACAAAATTATTCGTACTGTAGAAAAAATCGTTTTAAATTGATTAATTCATGTAAGTATAAGTAATTTACATAATTAATTTATCGCTGAAGCCTTCTAGACAATTTATTCAGTAGTATATTTGAGATAATTCCACCAAAGAACATCACGTGGTGTATAGAGGGTCACCATTGTTATTATTACGTTAACAACACAATGGAGAAGACAAAGGAGCTTAGTGTTGACCTGAGACAGAGAATTATTAACTTCCACAAGTTCAGAATTAGTTACAGTATATTCGGAAACTGGTTAGCTACCTTACATCTACGGTACAGTAGAGAGAATTTACCTGGGCGGGAAAGCAAACCCAAATTGTCACCGACAACTGCACGAAAACTGTGTCGCGAGGTTAATATAAACCCAGGAGTTATTTTGAAAGACATCGACAAAAGTTTGGACTTTATGGGTATCAGCGGAACGTTTTTAAAATAGAAATGGTTTGTATTTAAACCAACCTCAACGAACCCCTCTTTACAAATTATGTCTCATTCTAACTCGGTTTAATTTTGCCAAAACGTTCTTGGGCAAAGAGAATTGCTTTTAGGAATTGTCTTTTCCGACCAACCTATGGAGTGATGAAACAAAAATTGAGCTTTATGGACATCATGATGTGCAAAAGATTTGGTGCAAGAAAGATGAGGCTTTCCTCTTAAAGAACAGAGTAGTAACATTAAAACATGGAGGCGGTTCGATAATGTTTTGGGTTTGTTTTAGCTCAAGGGGGCTGGACAATTACTTGTAATACAAGGAAGAATGAAATCTGCAGACTATATTTAAATTCTGGATAAAAATCTACAACTATTAGCGCAAAATCATCATCTAGGCCGGCGATTTACTTTCCAGCAAGATAATGACCCCAAACATACATCTAAATCAATGACTACGTGGTTTCAGAAAAAGAAGATTACAGTTTTGCCATGGCCTTCAATGAGTCCTGACTAGAATCCTATTGAAAATCTATGGCAAGAATTGAAAGTTCGAATAAATCGTCGGTCAACAACAACCTCCATGAATTAGAATGTGTAACCATTGAAGAAAATCCCGAGAGCAGGCCAGAAGATGGAGGTCACATTGGCAAGATCAAAATGAAACAATATGGATGTCTAGTTGAGCAAGAAATCGCCAATCTCTGGGTCGTGCCTTACAATATATATTTGTTGTCACATTCAACTGTCATATCAATGTTGAAATCTGCTTATCAATTCATTCAATTATGTATTGCATCAACTACATTTTAAAGGGGTGAGATCAAGCATTTTCTGCACACACACACCCCACTGAAATGTTTCTCCTTTGATTTAAATTAAATTTAAATTTGAACAAGAGAATGACTCCTATCCAAAATATAGAAGGAGAAAACCAGAAGATGGAGGTCTCATAGTCAAGTTCATTGACTAATATTGAAATGCATTATTCTTCTCCACAAATTATTTAAAATCAGTCATCATTTTCTTACAAAGAAAATGTCTGACACGCATTAATTTGACTAGAAATATAAAATTCTATAGATAGAAACATAGAAAGAATGTCCGATTCACTCCGTGAATGTAATTCGATACCCTACTGTACCGGTTTTAACTTTGGTCCGAAATTACGCGAAGTAAGTCGGCGTACAATCGTGACTGTAAGCGCATCTTAGATTTGGCACAAGACCGAAAATGTGGGCCACCCAGAGGGATGGAAAAATTGTCTCAGTAATGGATTGATATAAGACTGAAAAACGTGTTGAAATGGGTAGGACGTTCGCGATAGTAAAGAAGTTAAGAGCTCGTACAGGCCTCCCTCTCCAGATGACGTGCTTTCAAACTTAAATGAGAATACTGTGCTTTCAGGAAGCATATTTTAAATGAAAATCGAAGCAGCGATGGCGTCACGCGTGTGGAGAGGACAGTAACTGACCGACCTATTGATATCCACTCACTCTCTCGCACTTACTTTAAGAAACGATTATACTACTCTCCCGCAAATAAATCAAGGTAAAAAAAAAAAAAAAAAAAAAAAACAAATGGGTACAACTGAGTTTGATTCGATCTGTTGATCTAAAATTTGGTTCCCGACTGACTAATTACCAATGGTTAACCATAATCCAGAGAAAACAACGAAACACGCGTGTGCAGAAGACGGTGATAAGAGTTACAATATGTGATATTATGCGAGAAAAACACTTCTTATAATGATGCATTTTAAATGAAAACGTTATCTTTTTTCCGTCTACAATATTTTCATGATTTTAAGCTGGGTTTCATTCTATTTGCTAATTGTAATGGTAATAGAGGGTGCAACAGATATTCCTTTCACATAAAGGTAAAACATTAGCGACAATGATCTCTTCCACCAACCAATGTGGGAGTTATTTCTGCCGGACCTTGTATTAGCAGTTTCCTTATAAGGAAATATTCGGCATTCATTGATCGAGCAGCCAGTGCTACAATCGCTTGAAATTTACAAAATCATTCTGTGAAAAAGATTTTTTAGGAAAATAGGTTTCTTAAGTCCAATGATTGTTATTGGTTTTCCCATATTCATGGGGGTTTCCTTCCTAAAATTTTCTTTGAAGTAAAGCTGATTATATCATTATTTTCTCTTTGATTTACATGTGCTATCCATTTAATTTCTTGCTGCTGCTGAAAGTCCTCAAGTGATGTGGTCCCTGTTAGTTGCTGTTTTGTGATTCTGTAGTGCCAATTCAGAAGGTTCAATGTGGAGGTTTTCCAGTGAATGAAGCCATTTATAATCATGAATTTTTAAAGCGACTATACAGCTGAGAGTTTAGATATATCTGAACGGGTTTGGCACCATGCATGACATCGATATGAAAATCTTGATGAGACAAGACCATTTAAGAATCTGGGTATTTAAGAACCTTTAGCTTTCCTTGGTGAATATCTCAGTCGTTAATCTTAAAAAATGTCCTGATAATAGCCTTTTATTACATCTCAGTCCATTGCAACTGGTACCTTTTGAAAGGATGGAACTCGTTATGCGTTATTGCTGGGCTAAAGGTAGAGGATTGACTTTGTTACCTTTAAAAAAAAAAAACAACGAAAAACAACCTTAAGCTCAGGAAAGATTTTTTACCAACTCGTATTATGTAAGAAAAGTTGTTAATTAGGGGCAGTAACTCTTACATAATATACAACAGTTACCTCCCCTGAGAATTAAATAGCATGTTTTATATGAATCTGTATATAATAGTTGGAAACACAGAAT